AAACCGTGTGCACTCTTAGCAATTCCATATGAAAATGCATGTTTTAAGATCGCAAAAGGAAAATTAATTTCGAGTTATATTAAAGTTGATACAGAACGCTTGACCATAAATATAAAAAATAAATAAATAAATAAAAGGACCCTGAATTTTGGAGGGTGTTGTAATTTACCCCTTTCCAAAAATCTTACTGCATTTCCATGAAAGTTTAAGGGCTTAATCCCTATTCTTCTGAAAGTTTTGCCGTTTTGCTCCCTACAGTGCAAAGTTCTGCATATTCACTCTCTTCGTCCCATAGTCTACACGAGTTCTCTTCCCTCACCTTGCAGCAAAAGCTGAAGGCAAATCCATTTTCCTTTTTATTTAGAGCCTTTCCTCTGTTGAGATAAGGTAAGTTTAAGCTTCCTGCTTTCCTTTTTCAATTGATACTGGCGTTTAGCTCTTGTAATTGTGTTTTTTTTTTTTTTTTTGGTTGCGGGTTTATTTTGTTGAGTTCTTTGTTCTTTGTAATCTTTTCTGATTTCTGTGTATCTTAAATTTGATAAAATGGTGAAGAACTGGAAGAGACTAATTTCTGTAAAAAAAACAAAGATCAGGGCTTTTGCCGGATTTTCTGAACATATTGGGTTTCAGGTGCATCTTTAACAATGATTTTTTCTTCGTTTTTTTTGTAAGTTTCTATCTGGGCTTTCAATTTTGATTTCAAGATGTGAAATTTTGGATTCAATTTGGACAGATACAGTTTGCATTTGGAAGTTAGTCTGTAATGGATGAAAATTTGAAGGTTGATGTCCATCAGGGGGATGATGAAGAGTATGTATTGCTTGATCTTGATGCTGTTTCTGAACAAGTTGATATCCCACCAAATGCCCCATATGTTCTGTCTGTAAGCTCTATATCCCGTGATTTTCAATTGTCTGTCTGATTAACTTTTTATCAAGTAACACAAACTGTTCAAATTTCTGCTACTCAAAAGTTTATCTAAGGTTTTAACAGTTGATGGGAAAAAAAAAAGTTTATCTAAGGTTGCGAAATTTGTTGGCTTTGCTTGAATCTTGGTGTACAAATTAGCTGTTGGCTGTTTAATCCTTGATTTAAAACATGCTAGTGACAGACTTCCAATATCTTGTTATTGGGATTCGTTGTCTTCATTTTGATAATAGGCTGCATTGAATTACTAGGGAGAATGTGCACACCTTTTGGATGTCTTCCATTGCTTTATTGCTTTCTAAGTCCACTGCTAGTTTGCTTCTCCCTTTCTCTAGCTAAAAGGTTTTGATTGCATAATGTCTATATCTTATACCTTCAGACGATTTATTCTTTTGATTCGTTTCATTGATTTTTTCCTGTATTTTCCATGGTATGATTAGAAATTTATTTTAATTGCAGGGTCTGGACACGTTAAATCCACTGTTGATCATAGATGACAAAATCAAGCTGGTGAGTTTAGTGCTTTGCTAAACCTGGTATTCTACTTTTGAGTAAGAAAGCTACACCTAACAAGGTTACAAAATTACTCTTATAGACTGTGGGTACGGAACATAATCATTATGGTGATAACCTCCTCTGTGAAGGAAATTTTCACTTCTACTGTGAAGAAGAAGATATTTGTCATAAATTGTTACTTTGTAGAAACCCCTTGTCTGTGTTGATCGCTCAGAACTTTCAAGCGCACAAATTTTTCTTTGGATGTCATTTAACGTTTGGACCACATATTATCCTGTAAGTGTTGGGCAAACCCAAACAATAAGTAGCATATGCATTCTGCTGTGCACCCAAGAATTTAGCTGATTGAATGTTGAATTGGTTTTATTTAATTCCTGTCAATTTACATTTTTAATTTCTGCCAGGTGACTGCTAAGTTTTGGGAATTAGTTTCCTATTCTATGAATTTGGTTCTCTTAGTTAATATTCTTCTCCTTTTACAGATTGGAGAATATGAAGAAACTATTGGGACTTGCCTTATTTTCTCTGAAGATGGTAAGTTGTGTTTTCACTTTTCTTATCTGTTTTGACTATCCAATGTAAAGGGGAGTAGAGTCACTAGACCAGAGTTTTTTTAATAGGCTCATCTGCCATTAGAAGCCAAGAGTGGTCTATCTTTCCCTTTTACTGTAATTGTGCTTTTACAGTCTTAGTTACATGATTCTTGATGCCTGCTAATGCCATGCTTGGATCTGTTAGAAACTAGAAGATGTCAATATACATTGTTTTGATAAGTGTGGGTTGGTTTCTCCCTCCCAACATGTGTTGTCATAGGCTGTTTTGGCTGCAAATGATAGACTGTCAGACAAGTAGTTTCTGTACATTTGTAACACCTATTCTTTTTACTTATTCAGAGAGGCTAATATCAAATTAAATTTCCCATAATACTTTTTTTTTTGTTATTGTGTTTTATTTCTGTTTGTGACATTGATTTCTTGTGTGAATTCGGTGGGCAAATGTGCTTGGAATTTCTTGCAGATGCTGCGCCTGTAGTTCATGAAGAGACTGGGCCCTCAGAAGCAAACCTCTTCAGTGGAAAATGTATAATAGACCCTAATCAAGCTTTGAGAAAGCAAGTAAAACCAATTGCTCGGCTTCACAAGATTCTAAAGTTCAGATTGTTATTCGATGATGATGCACACGATGGAATGGTTGGGCAGACTGGTTAAAATTTGTAAGCTAGGAATAAAGCCTCACTGATGGATTTTTTTTTTTCTTTTCTTTTCTGGTTTTGCCATTTTGACCTAATGGGTTGTCTGATACCGGCACCAACCTGAAGCGCAGGAATGGTTTTTTCGTTTCTTCACCAAGAGTAGGAGATTTGTATTATGGTTAATTGATGCTAAATATGAATTTCTTTGCATCTTGCAACTTATGTAAAATGAATCTTTTGGTCAAATTAATGATCTCAGAACTCATTATTCCAGATGTTGGTTTGGCTGTTCATATTTGCAAGCAAGAAACCTAAAGCCTCACTCATGGAATTTTTCTTCTTTTCTGGTTTAGTCATTTTGACCTGAGATTAGGTTGTTTGACACCGGCACCAATGGAAAAAATTGGGATTTTTTTTTTTTCTTGACCTGGAGCAGCAGTGTTGTGTTAGTGAATTGATGCTAAAAATACCAATTTCTTTGCAACCTGCATGTAAGATTAGTGTTTTTGGTCGAACGATGGTGCTTTCCAGAATCCTGAGCAGTTAGCTAGGCTGTTCAAACTCGGTGGGCTACTTTCTTGCTTAATAAAATTGGAATTTTGATGTATGTAGTTCACCTACTGACTATGTAGTATGTACACGTAAGAGGCTATTATTCAATGAAATACAAAGAGAAGGTCCATGTCCACATGGTCTTGAAGTTCCGTCTGCATATTTTCCCTCTTCCTCTGTTTTCTCTTCTTGCTTCCATCTCTGTCTCTCTAATCCAACAGACAGCAAATATTAGTGACTCTTTCGGTGGAAAAGCATGGAACCCTTCAGAAAATACCATATAGGCAGAGTCAAATTCTAGTGTGGGAACGCCTAATGGAAAATCTCATCAATTATTATGCGTTTTGTTTTTGCCTTTTTTAGATATCATCCAGGAGCATACCAAAAAACACTTAATGTAAGTTTTGCTTCCTAGTTTATCTGTCTGCATTTGCTTCCTAGTTTATTTATCTGCACTTCTGTTTCTTCATTTTTCCCTTTTTGGAGTTTTGGATGATTGTAAAATTGATTCTAAGTAACTTTGATTCATTCCTTTCACTCTTTCTATAGATCGCATCTTTTTGGTGAAATCTACTGCATATTTGCTATCTGCCTTCTCAAAAGTCAAAACCATTGAAGCAACACTAGCTTTCAGACCAGGTACAACTTCTTAAAGTCTTTTTTATATATATGGTAAAGTGAATTTTCATTTATACTTCTTAGATTGAGAATTTTATGCCTTTTTTTTTTTTTTACTGAGTCTCTTTTAAAAATTGTTCAGTCATGTTGGTATTTTTCACTAAGAAATGGAGAGAAAATCTGGAAGGATATGATTTCTGATCAATTCAAACTTTTTGAACATACAAAAATGTTGCGGTAGAAAAAGTAAGAGTTGATTTACTTTTCCTTAAATTGTGCTACCTTGTCTCCTGTATTTGTCCAAGGTACTTACATCAAAGTAAACTGTAAAGCTTAACATTACAACAATCCAAACTAGGACTCAAAAACTAACATAACATTACTTAAACCTACATTCAAAAACTAACTAAGCTAAGTGACACCGCGTAATTCCCTTAGCTTTTTTTTTTTTTTT